CACAGTTAACAGATTGAACACACACTAAGCTACACAGTTGGGAAAGATAATAACTTAACACAAGCAGATGCGGTGTGTTCTACATCTATATCCTCATTAAGATGTCTTAAACTAGGCCTAAGAATGCCTAGAATGGGAAGAGGATGCAAAGATGCACATTTAAAACATTTTCAGAAAAACAGAGTCCCGCTCGAGCTCAAGTTTCCCCGCTCGAGCGGTCATGCAACAAAGGTCTCCGCTCGAGCGTACATTACTCCGCTCGAGCGGACTGTAAAACAGTGCAAGATGCTGGGAGCTCGAATTCCCCGCTCGAGCGCCACTTTCCCCGCTCGAGCGGGAGACCAAAATCTGGAAAATCCAGATTTGAACTCCAATGCTCAAATCAAGTTCCAATGCATCAAATTCGATCCTTTTGGGCTAATTTTCTGGAAAACACTTCAAAACTCATAGTATAACATGTTTCAAAGATCAATTTGAGAAATCAAAGCCCAAAGGTAGTTCAATTAAACATGATTTCAAACCAAGTTTCAAGAACAACAACTCAAATGTGACATGCATGGCTTTAATCAACTTCAAAGCTCCAAAGTAAGTTCAAATGAGTCTAAACTTCCAAAAACATGATGAATTCATGATCTACTCTCAAGACATGAACATGCATGTGAGGAATTATGAACTACAACCTCTAAACTTCAAAATACATACATGCATGCAAGCCTTAAGCTTCAATTCAACATTAAGAGGCCAATTCTTGACTCAACTCTTCAATTAACATGGAGCATGCAAGAACTAGCTTGAATACAAGAATGAAAAGATGAAATTCTTACCTAAGTCTTGTACATCAAGTGTAGAAGCTTAAATATGAAATCTATACTTCAATCCCCTTAATTTCCAAGCAAGACCAAGCAAAATGAGATGAAATCCAACTCTCTCCCTTATCTCTCTCTCTCTAGTCGCCAAGAGCAAGGAATGAGCTGAGCAAAATGTTTGTTTCAAGCATATAAAGGCTCTAACATGTCATAAATAAAAGGCCCACTAACAATGGCAATAAGGTAAATAAGGCAACTATTGCAATTTAACTCATTTTAATCTAATTTAATCATACCTAATCAGTTTTCAGATAATTACACTGTAAAATTACATAAATTATGATGATCATGAAACACTAATCGGTTTCTGGTTCGGCCGCCGATAAGGCCTTCAATTCTCACTTTAAACATTAAAACATGAACAGATAGTTCAACAGTCAAACAGATAGACATGCATTTAAATAGATACCGTCGATCGATCAGTTTCAGAATTCAGTCAGTCTCAGTTTAGCAGTAATCAGTGACAGTATCAGTAATCAATGGTCAATTAGTGATCAGTGATGAGAGTTGTTACACTAACTGTGAATTGCTCCATGTGTATTTCCTTCCTAACATAGGTATATCCACCAATTCCAGTTTATTAGCAAAATCATTAAACTCTTGCATCCCCCTATCACTTCTCACACAACCTCTCCTTTCCCTTATACTTTTGATTTCATTGAAATCACCCCCTACACACCAGGGTTCTGGGAAAGATGCTTTTAGATTAGCAAGAACCACCCAAAGATGCCTTCTCCCAGTACTATCATTAGGGGCATAAATATTGAGAATGAAACAGTCAAGTCTGCAATAGACCAAACCTGATAACAAGATGAAATTTCTGGAGCTGCAACAACCTTTAATCTGAAAGACCTCAGGATTCCACAAGCACAACAAGCCCCCTGCACTCCTTTCTGCATCAACCCCTATATACCCAGGTCATCTTCTGGCCATATAGTTCTAACAAAATTCTCATCCATACATGACTTCTTTGTTTCTTGAATCAAAGCCATATCCACATTTTTTTCCTTTATGAGATTTTTGAGACTCCTCATTTTCTCAGGCTTGCCCAGACCTCTAATATTCCATGAAATGACTTTCATTATGAAACTACTTTGACTCCTAAATCTCCTTGGATGCAAGTTTAAGCACCACCAATGATCCCCTTCTTGGGAACTCTGTCTTCATCTTGCTTTTCCATCATCGTAATTTTCTGAATGACACTCTCATCATTACCCCCAATTTCAATACCCAGAGCTTTCCCCAACATCACAGTTTCTTGGGCTTTATTTCGGCTCAGAATTTGTCTATATGCACCCGTGCTAACTGACATGGATGAAGAAATCGCAGATGTCGCTGCTCTAAATATTGCTCTTCGTTGGAAACCACTGCAAAATTGAGCAGCCCCTCTAATTTTCTTTTTCCTTTTTGGCCTTGTGTGACGACCCGCTCCCCATACCCAAGGGTTAAGCATCGTGATGGCCAGTAACTAAAGTTACCTACGGCCAATTCTTAAACAAATTAATAAACGCAAGCGGAAGAAATATTTAAATAAGGGTACCAAAATAATCATTGGGGCTTCTATTTTTATTACAAAATTATATTGACCAAAAGGCCGATATTTACATAGAAAAATATTATAAAAGGTGTTGTGTGTATCTATTCTGCAGCTTCGCATCTAAGACTTTTCAAAACCTATTTCTGAATTGTACCATTTCCTGAAAATGGGTAAACAGCTATAAGCACATAGCAGAGTGAGAAATATTATACCAACAGTATAAGGGACACGAAAAAACCATAGATAGTTAGTTAGGCCAAAACATTTAAGATAGCTTAGTCTGAACAAATAATCTTTTAAGTAGCAAAACTGAGATTATGTATATAAATAATCATAACCACGGTAATTTGGTGAATAATTCATTTAAGTAACAGAAACTGAAATACAGATATTATGTAAATATATAACCATAACCACGGTACAGAACAGAACAGCACAGAGGTCACAGAAGTGACAATCAGAACAGAGGTATGGATTCAAGAGGTGGCTCATATGAATTATAGATGTGGCTCCCACAATAGTGTAGCACTTAGCTCCGCACAGCACTTTGGTCCGCACAGAACAGAGGTGCGGATTCAAGAGGTGGCTCATACGGATTCTAGAGGTGGCTCCCACAATAGTGTAGCACTTAGCTCCGCACAACACTTTGGTCCGCACAAAACAGAGGTTAATGGATCAGAGGGCTACAAACTAACCAAACAGAGGCCACTCCCAAGGCGTAGGACTCCCGTAGTGATACTTACAAAATATAATTGTATATAAGGTCATAGCCAAATATTCTTTAAAAGTAAAACAAACATACCCATGGGTTTCCTTTTAAGCAAATAGGGTTCAGAAAATAATCCACGTAACTGCAACCTTTATAAAACATAATTTTTATTAATAAACTAATAAAACATAAATAAAATAGATTTTGGTAAGTCAAAACATACGTAAAATATATTTTGGCGACTCAAAATATAATATAACTCACCTTAATTTTAATACCTTACTCTTTCTTTTCACTATCAAAGATCCTTTCAACGTCCACTATTACTTTCCACTATCAAAGATCCTTTCAACTTCCACTATTTTCCTTTCTTTCCTTCCGTTCTTTCTTTCCTCTTTTCCTTTTCTTTTCTTCCCTCACAGGTTGATCAACTCTCCCTATTTATAGGGAGAAAAGCTCAATCTCTGTCCAACACGTGTCCAGCCGAATCAACTCGCGGATCTGCTTCTTATCTTCATCGGATTTGCTTATTATGAAATGGATTTATATTTATCTTATATAAATATTTAAGATAATTATCCTTTGACCCAAGTTTTTAATATAATTATATAAATTAATTAATTCTTAATTAAATTACACTTTATCATATAATAATAAAAAATTAATTATTTATTTTACTACCACACCCATTATTATTATTATTAATATTATCTATATTATTATTATTATTATTTATATTTTGACCCCTAAACTTATACTAATTATATCTTTTTACAAAATTATACATAATAATATATAATAAATTATATATTTTCCGAACTGAGATTAAATAATATTAATATAAATTCAACAAAATAATTAAAAATCTGAATTGTTACGCCTTGACCCCTTGCCTTTGCTGGTTGAACCTTGAACAACATACTTTCCCATTTCCTTGCTTTTCAAAAATTGTTGCTCACAAACTGTAACAACATGAGCTGTATTAACCTTCTTCCCCTTATCTCCTATTTTTACTGATGATTGCTCAGATGTGTTAATATATATTCTTGCTTATGAGACAATGATTAATCTTTATTTATAATTCTCTCCTCTCACAAATATCATTAATTATTGGATTCAAGTCCTAGGTTGGGGGCCCAAGGAGAGTAGAGAATAAAACTTTTAAGAACAAATTACACTCGTAGTTCCTATAATTTGCCTTTTGTTTTCATTTGGCTCTAGTAGTTCTAATTGTGTCAATTTTATCTTTGAATTTTTCATTTGCCTTTTGCTTATGATAATATTCCCTTTTGGATGGACCATTTTGCACTTAATTTTTATTCAATTTTCTTATGGATGTTTATCAGTTGAACTAATTCGACATAATATGAAAAATTAAAGAACAAAATTGATGCAATTAAATTATGCAGGCAAATTGACAAAATTGACAAATTATGGGGGACTAAGGGTAAGTTTTGTCCAAACCTTTATATTGCTCCACCCCTTCATGGGGGTTCGGACCATAATTTTTCTATATGACAGTATATGAGTGATAAAGATTAAGCCTAAAGATGAAAATCCTTTTGTGAGGGTTCGGACCATAATTTTTCTATATGACAGTATATGAGTGATAAAGATTAAGCCTAAAGATGAAAATCCTTTTGTGAGACACGTGTATCCTATTTTGTGATTTTCTTCTGTATTAGTACTATTGAGTCATAAATCTTGATCAATTGAGTCTATTTTGGGTCACATTACTTCTCTATTTTTATATTTTTTTTTTCAAAAAAAGTAATTTTTAATTGACTTTCCAAAATAACGCTTAGACTTTAATTCTATCAGCAAAATGGAATTTTGATTAATTAATTTTGTTTTTTTTTTTTTGTGTATGTGACTTATAATTAACCAGTTCAAAGAAATAGTGAGAAGTTATGACATTGAGGCAGAGTGGTTCAAGGAAGGATATGTAGCATCATTTGAAGAGTATATGAAGAATGGCTTCGTAACCAGCACAGGTCCACTGTTCACAACATCATGCTTCATGGGCTTAGAGGCAGATGTTGCTACCATTGAGGCATTTGAATGGATTCTAACTAAACCTAAAATGGTGGCTGCCTCTAGTGCTATTGGCCGACTCGTTAATGACGTAACGAACCACGATGTACGCCTATCCCATTCTTAAAGAGCTTATAATGTTTATTTATTTTTGTGATGAAGATGATGATATCTAACTTTCTTTTTTTTGGAACAAATGAAGGAAGAACAAGAGAGGGGACATGTAGCTACAGGGCTTGACTGCTACATGAAGCAGCATGGTGTTTCAAAGCTATGTTACATGGACTCGGGTATGGGTGTCAGGTGTGGGTATGTATCCAGAGGTTGGACTCATAAAATTATAAATTTAAGGGTACGCAGACTCGGCAAAAAAATGCCAGATTTTTATAAATTAACGAAGTATGTGAGATAAAATGGTATTATATATAACTTACAGTGTCAAAAAGACATTTATAGCAATTATGCAACAATATGTACATATAATAATAGTGTTATATACAATTATATAAGAAGTATCCGTTGAAAAGTGTCCGACACATATCCCATACCCTTATCCGAGTGTCGCGTGTCCGACACGGGTATTTGATTTGTTTTGAAGAGTCCGTGTAACATAGTTTCAAAGCAAGAGGCGATTGTGGAGTTGTATAAAATGATTGAGAATGCATGGAGGGATATCAATGAAGAAATGCTTAAGCCAACTGCCATCTCAATGAAACTCCTGATCCGTGTTCTCAACCTTTCGCGCATCTTGGATGTGGTTTACAAGTATGTGGATGGCTATACTCATCCAGAAATAATCAATGACCATGTCATCTCTTTGTTCGAAGATCCAATTCCCATGTGAGTGAGCATGGTTCGCTGCCTTTTCCCTCCTAATGGCAAACTAATGTGTGCGCGTGTAGGCTTGGACTTGAACTTGGACTTGGATAAATTTGTTTCTGGGTATTGTATTTTGTACTTCCTCTTCAGTATTGTATGTTGGAATAATCTTCTGTGTAAAATAAATAAATTAAAACTAAATCAAATCAAATAAAATAAATAACATAGGTAGCATTTGGTAACATTTATATTTTTTGTTTATGTTTACAAAAATTTTATAAACTGGTTTTTGTTTATTTTTAGAAAAACATAAATTACAAACACGTTTGGTTTGAACAAAATTTTAAAAAATTTAAAAAACATAAACAAAAAAATATATTTGTACAGGCTTAAAATATTTATATTTATTTTTATTATTTATGACAATGGGATCACGCACATTATAATTGAAAAAAAATTAATTAAAAAAATAATTGAAAAAAAATTAATTAAAAAAATAATTGGAAAAAAAATTAATTAAAAAAATAATTGAAAAAAAATTTAATTGGGAAAAAAAATATTTGAAAAAAAAATTAATTCAAAAAAATTAATTGAAAAAAAAGCTATTTGAAAAAAAAATTAATTGAAAAAAAAAATTAATTGGGAAAAAAAATTAATTAAAAAAATAATTGAAAAAAATTTATTTAAAAAAAAAATGAAAACTGAAAACGTAAACTCATTTTTTTGAGTTTACGTTTTTCCTCAAATTTATAAACTGAGACAACTATTTATAAACCAAAAAAATTATCAAACAAGTTTTTATAATAGTTTTTTAAATTTTTGTAAATATAAACTGAGAACGGAATGGTTACCAAACATGTCCTTACAAAATTTATTTTACCGAACCGAATGAATAATAAAAAGATCAAGTCGAGTGTGTGATACTCTGTCCTTAAGACAAATTCGCCCCGCTACGGTGCTTACGAATAAAGGCGTCTATCTCCCAGGATACAATGATCTTCACAAATTGTAGTAGCACTCCAAACAATTTGTACGGCAAACCAAACCTGTGTTCTATACTCTCTTAATTTTTTCCCTAAAAATTAATATGAAGAATTTATTCAAACAGAACAAAAAATGGACAGCAAAAAGATGATTTTCTAGATGTTTTCAGGATGTCTTGACTGCTGGAAATGGGTCTCTATTTATAGGCAACTTGGTGGCCATTCAATCTGCTCGAACAGGTAGAAATTTGAAGTGAACAGGTACTGGATTCAAACTGGACAGATCTGCTGCCAGTTTTTGAATCTGTTCTGCAGTTATGGATCTGTAACTGCTGGATAGTTATTAACACTGTTAAAAACAGTTTGAACCTGTTGAAATTTGCTGAAAAATGGACTGGAAAACGGGTAACATATGGACAGAAAAATTAAATTCAAATTTGGCACAAAATTTGAATTAATTTCGTTAAGAATTTTGAAAAAAAATTTCTCCAAAAAATTAATATTAGAATCGACCCGACCCACAACCCACACCCGCGCCCGGTTCGGACGAACGGCGGTGGCGCGCGCGCGTGTGGTGGTTTGGCCTAAGGTTTTATTTGTTCATAATTCCTCCCTTCTACAAACTTGGGGTGCCTCTTGGGGCCAACCCAAGTTAGAACACCAAGAGCTTATATACTCACAAAAGCTCTTTTAAAGTTTCAATGTGGGACAACCCATTTCAAGGAAACCTACATTTACTTCTTTAATTGTCCATTTCACGAACCCGAAAACGACGTCAAGTTCTCATTCGCTCATAAATGGTTTTGATGAACTGTCTTCACCGTGTGACTTGCCATGCAACAAGGAACATGTCACATCTTCAGACTCACCTCAAAAATCGTGTGGACCCCATTCAATTTTTAGGCTCAAAGTTGGCCCAAAATAAGCCAATAAAAACCAATTTTCCAACAATCCCCCACATGAATGGAATTTGACAGAGAGAAAATGCAATAACATGATCTAATTACAGAGAATACAGAAATTGAAAATATTCTGCAAATGATAGGTAGCTTTTGGCTTTGAACCTTCTCTTGTGAGACACTATCGGATTTACTAGCTAATCAGTGATCATGATGTCTTGAACTGTTCAGCCATTTGTGTAAACCAAGACAATAGAACTCACACAGTATATTACAAGACACAATTTAGTTCTCACTATTGTGTTCATTTTGGTCCTGAACAACCTGGTTTTTCAAAAATGCTTTAGAGAATTGTAGCGCTTCACAAATCTCATAGAACCGGCCCAGTTCACACTCACATAGATGATTCTTATGAAGAGTATCTTGCCATACTTCACTAGGTATACCTAGATATAAAAATCATTAAAAGTATTACTTAACTTAAAACGCTGCATACATCACTATTTCATCATAGAAATGGGTAGAAGTTTGACTCCCTAGTAATCCTTCTGAGTCATACATAACTCGGTTGTCCCTTTGAACCTAGATCTTGGGATCTCCAATCAACTAGGTTGGGTTGCCATTGTGGTAACTCTTATTAATAGGCTTAAGTCCTATTCCTCTCGATGAATTCTCAACTAACTCTCTTGTTAACCCTTTGGTTAGGAGATCCACTATGTTATCTTTAGACTTCATATATTCAATGGAAATAATTCCATTAGAGAGTAGTTGTCTTACAGTGTTATGTTGATGACGAATGTGTCGTGACTTACCGTTATACATATGACTCTGTACTCTACCTATTGCTGATTGACTATCACAATGTATGCATATAGTAGGCACCGATTTTGATTACATTGGAATATCTTCAAGGAAGTGGCGAAGCCATTCTTCTTCTTCCCTAACTTTATCTAAAGCTATGAATTTTGATTCCATAGTAGACCTAGCAATGCAAGTCTGTTTGGAAGATTTCCAAGATATAGTTACACCACCAAGAGTAAAGACATACCCATTAGTGGACTTTGAGTCTCTAGTATCCGATATCTAGTTTGCATCACAGTATCGTTCAAGTACTGCTGGATATCTAGTATAATTCAACCCAATGTTACGAGTAAATCGGAGATATCTTAGAACCCTTATAATTGCTTTTCAGTGTTCTATTCCTAGGGTACTCGTATATCTACTTAATTTACTTACTGCATAAGCTATATCCAGGCGAGTGCAGTTCATCAAGTACATTAAGTTTCTAATATTTGGGCATACTCTAATTGAGAAATACTTTCCTGTAGATTCTTAGAAAGAAACAAATTAACATCCACAGGTGTTCTTGCAAGATGATTATCATCTTTGTTGAATTTGTCAAGTATTTTCTCAATGTAATGTGATTGTGACAAAGCATATCTTTCTGATGTTTTTGTAATTTTCATATCAAGAATAACATCAGCAATCCCCATGTCTTTCATGTCAAAATGTTTATATAACATTTTCTTGGTAGTTTTAATCATGTCATTATTACTACCTATGATGAGCATATCATCCACATAAAGACATACTATAACATAACCGTTGTTTGTGTTTTTAATATAAATATATTTGTCACACTCATTAATTTTAAATTCATTTGATATTATTGTCAAATTTCTCATGCTATTATTTTGGCGATTGTTTTAAACTATATAATGATTTAACCAATTCATACACTTTCTTTTCTTTTCCTGGAACAGCAAATCCTTCTGATTGTCCCATGTAAATTTCTTCATTTAACTCACCATTTAAGAAAGCGGTTTTCACATCCATTTGATGAATTTCTATATTGTACAACGATACAATAGCAATTAGCATTCTAATGGATGTTATTCTAGTAACCGGTGAGTATGTGTCAAAGTAATCAAGACTTTTTTTTTGTCTAAAACCTTTGACCACAAGTCTTGCCTTGTATTTGTCAATTGATCCATCCACTTTCATTTTTCTTTTGAAAATCCACTTGTACCCAAGAGGTTTACAACCTGGTGGCAAATCCATCAATTTCCAAGTGTGATTTTGCAGGATAGATTCAATTTCATTGTTTATAGCCTCTTTCCATAAAAGAGCTTCAGGACTGGACATAGCCTCTTTAAAAGTTTAAGGCTCATTTTCTAACAAAAATGTTAGAAAATCTGGATCAAAAGATTTTGAGGTTCTAGTACGTTTACTATGCCTAGGTTCTTCTTCCTCATTTTGATCTATCTCTTGCTCTTGTTCTTGATCATGTTCTTAATCATGACTACTAATAGCATTATAAGATCTTTTATTATTACTAGTCTCTTGTCCAGTTTTATTTGGAAACACATGTTCAAAGAAAGACGTATTCCGAGATTCAATAATAGTATTTACATGCATTTTGGAATGTTCTGACTTATGAATCAAAAATCGATATGCACTACTATTCATGGCATAACTAATGAAAATGCAATCAACAGTTTTAGGACCTATCTTAGTCTTTTTAGTACTAGGAATAGCTACTTTAGTCAAACACCCTCACACTTTTAAGTATTTGTAGACTGGTACTCTCCCATGTCACAATTCATAAGGTATATGATTCACTTTCTTTCGGGGTACTTTATTAAGTATATATTCCCCCCACAAGTTTTGAGGTAATCCAGAACTTATTAACATGGCATTCATCATTTCTTTTAAAGTCCTATTTTTCCATTCAGCAATTCCATTTTGCTAAGGTGAGTAAGGAGCGGTGGTTTGATGAATTATTCCATGTTCTTTACAAAACTCACCAAAAGGTGATTCATATTCACCACCTCTATCACTTCTAAGTTTCTTAATTTTCTTAGCAAGTTGATTTTCAACTTCATTCTTATATTGAATGAAAGTTTCCAAAGCTTCATCATTGGTTTGAATTAAATAAACATAACCATATCTAGTATAGTCATCTATAAAAGTGATAAAATACTTTTTCCCACCTCTAGTTTGAATTGATTTAAAATCACAAATGTCACTATGAATTAACTCAAGTTGTTCTGTACTTCTTTCAATTGAATGAAAATGAGTTTTGGATAATTTTGCCTCAACACAAATTTCATATTTATGATTTGAATCAATGTCAAATTTAGGTAAACATTTCATATTAATTAATCTACGTAAAGATCTATAATTAACATGTCCAAGTCTACCATGCCATAAATTTGAAGACTTCAGCAAGTAAGAAGAATATGTATTTTTATTAATAACAGAGGGTACAATAGTCATTACATTTGTTTTGAAAAGGCCATCAGACATGTAATTTTTTCCTACATACATCCCGTTTTTGGTAAGTACA